TCTGCTATTGCAGACATTGCGTCGCCTTCCTGCACTCGCCCGAACACTCCCTTAACCGCCGTTTTTCCAATGTGAAACTCGTCCAACCCCCCTTTCCAGCTATTTTTTGACCCTTTCTATTTCTTTTTGTTCATCGTTTTTTTTTTTTCGTTGTTATCGCTTTATTCTAGAGTAGTTCTATGAATTCCCGTCAAAAAAGGGCACCCTAAATTCATCGTAAACGGTGCCTTTAAGCAGAACTCCCAGATTACGCTGTGCTGCAGCAAACTCTTATTCTCCCTTTCTATCAATGAAAATTCCAGGAGCCATCACAATTGGAAATCTTGGAATAGCAATGCTGGAACCATCACTACCACTGTGGATGATGGAAACATGGCAAGCCGGGTCGGTTGAAAGAGGAGCAGCTTTCTTGCCAGCCTCTATTTCCTATATGGTTGGAACAAATGTGTTTGGCCCACTGGCTCACAAAATTGGAAGGTATGTTTGTACGGAAAGGTTTATTTTGGTCCGAAGACTCTGAAAGTGTCATCACCCAGGTGGTTGTCAGCGTTCATTGGACTTGTCACGATTGGATTCTGCTTGTTGGCAATTCCTTCGGCTACATCGATCAAAGGACTCATTTTTCCGAATTTCTTCATGGGATTCAGTATTGGTGAGTGCCGCTTTTTACATTCAACCTGGATAAAAAGTAGACAGTTACCGATCAAACAACATGCTCTGAAAGCGCAAAATCGCCATAGGGAATTGTAGGGAAACTATGTTTCACAGAATGTCACCTGTTAGCAGTTCTCTGGGAATATCTTTCTAGTTAAAGGCACAGTTCACGATAATTTTGAGGTACCCGTTTTTATTCGAAAAGCGGAAGTATAAATAGTTTTTCGGTAGTTAAGAAGGCGGGAAAATTCGCCGATTTCGAGAAGAAGATGGCTCTTCAAAAGTGGGGAAAATAGAGGTTGGACGAGATGGCCATGACGCATATAACATGGAAGGGTATTCGGACGAGATCTCAGTCATTGCAAATGCACAAAGAGTTAAGACATCAAGCCAGAATTGTACAGAACTGTCTTTCACTATTGCTATGAGTCATGACAAGTTGTTTGAATTTCTTACATGGGAGCCCTTATGATTGGTGCAGCCTCTACAATGCCGTGAAACTCGCCGATGATACATACGGGCCAATCTTTGAGCCTTTATAACTCCCTAACCAGGCCGTTTTCCCACCTAATAGGGCCACTTATGGCATACGCGGGGGCCTCAAAACCATCCTGTGGGGGAATCTCAGTAACCATTTCTACCGTGAACTGTGCCTTTAAAGCTGTAAAGGATTTCTAAGATAGGTGAAACGCTCATATTAGGTCACCTTCTCAGACGGTGACTGATAATAATGTTGGACCCATTGTACTTGTTATGATAAGGGGTTATATGGGAAACACTTGATCACATTCATAATTACTGACTGTAATTTTGTTAGTAAAACATGGTATCTGCTTTAAAGCTCATAAAAATTCAGCTTTTTACCTTCCTCTTTTTTTTATAACTTTTTCTTAAACCAATCTGGACTCTAAAGAATCCTTTGCCATACTAGATGGCGCTACTAACTTTCAAGTGCATAGACTATACAGACTTCAAGAAACCGTCGTCTCTTAACCCAATTAAGGCTCATGGTTGAGTTTTTGGATTCGGGCTTTGAAGAGTCGGAACGGAAGGGACTTCGAGGTCAATTATCCGACACAAGCTAAAAGTACCTTTTGCACCGGAATGACCAGGTAGGTATTGAAGACGGAAAGAAGTTGGAAACCTGAATCATAGTGATACGTTCCTCAGAGTATAGTTCTAACTTGCGATGTCAACATCTATGGATGAAGAGCAAGCAAACACTTTTTTGAACCCGACGAGATCACTTGGGTTACTTGAATCTCATCAGGCACAGCGGCTAAATTTCTAGAAGCACGAAAGTCATCAAGAAGCACGAAAGTATGTAAAGGCTTACAAATTGGGACTGTACACCCTAAGCTGTGCCAAACGGTTGGATCTCGCCAACCGTACAACGTAACCCAGCCGTCGTTGCAAATATTCCTGGCATTCATGAGTGTTACTTTTGGGGTTGTTCGAGAAATGGGGTACTTCGACCTTGCATGGGAGACGGGCAGTAGGAACGGTTTTGTGTAATCGATTCGCCGCACGCGGCTGTCGCTGGCTCCGCTTCGCCGTTATTACATCGATTTGTAAATCGTTATCACATGATTCTAGTGTTAGTTCCTTTGTTCGTGTATTTCTTACCTGCTGCTGCACTCTGCTAGATTCCTCCGCACGCGGCGTCTTTCTCACCGCGACGCGACCATTTCACTCCTACTGCACCACACCCACCTTGCATAACAAGAAAACATCAGAGTCGTTCATAATTTTTGCGTTACACATTTTGTATTATCGACAAGTGGTACCAAATCCATCAAATTCTGATCAAATGAAGTTGCCGGCGGTGGATATCTGTCATGACCCCCATAATCCGCTACATATGTACATAGAATTAATACGATTTTTATTTTGTAATCGTAATGAAAACGACTGCGCATAGCAGCATTGGATTTGGCAATGTTTTTGAAAGTTATTGACATAAGCATGGATTAGGGATGATCGACGCGTCCATGTTCCCTTTGATGGGATATCTTGTGGATTTGCGCCATGTTGGAGTCTATGGTTCCATTTACGCCATAGCTGATGCCGCTTTCTGCTTCGCTTTTGCACTCGGGCCATTTTTCTCTGGACCACTGGTGGAGACTGTTGGATTTCCCACGTGAGTTTTTGAGTTTCACTTTTATGGCTGGAACAAACAAGTGAGTTGGACAAAAGGATAAAGTTCTCTGGAATTTATCACAGATGATCTTTTCTTTTAGATCGAAACTGTGCTTTTAAGAGCTTTTGACCCTTGGTATCATTTCCGTAGAAGTAAATATACAGATAAGTCAGTACTTTTATCCCATCAGACTAAACTGGTTCTTGGCTACCGCTTTCGGACACGGTGGAGGCTTTACTTGGCTTAGAGGACAATCAATGAGGGGTTTGACCTCAGGAAAAAAAGTGTCGTAGGGCACACTCAACGCTCCACCTCTTTCTCTCGATTAACAAAAATTTTGAGAAATGCAAATTACGAGGCATCCATCAGGCTTTCTCCAGTCACGTCTTGATATAACGATGCCGAGAGTTAGAAGAGTAAAAGTAGAACTGTAAACTGCCCTGGACTGAGGGCTGCGATATTATAAGGTTCTCTGATACAAGAGTAGGCGTCAATCACTGTACGGCTGTAATACCTGCTTCTTCAAAGTTCAAACTCGTAGCAAGTTTTTTTTGGGAGTAGGCACACAACGGATTAAATTTTTCAAAAGATTCTCTCCTTTCGGTGTATGCTCAAAACGATTTTCCATCTTTCCCTTCATCTTCCATAGTTCCCGTTTCAAAACCATTTACCCGTTACTTATCGCCACCTTTCTGTTGATCTTCTTATTCTGCCTCTTTTGGTGGCTGTACTCTTTCTTCCATGTCTTGACTGTCCACGTCTTCTCACCCTTATCTGCCATGATTCTTCAATTTCATATGTAATAGTTATTAGAACGAAAACCCAAACTTTCGACCTGACCACCGTTGATGACATAGCTTGTCCTTTGATGTTGAACTTTGTTGTTGAACAGTGATCTGAGGTACGTTTAGTGATCAACACCAAGACCTCTGTGCGAATAATCCGATGGTTTTTCTTCGTATTGGGAGAGATTGTTACTTTACTATGAACTATGGTTAGCAGTAATTATGGCTGTCCAACATCAATTCGTGGACATAAAGTAGCCACAGATTCCTGAGCGATAGGTAATATACCAGTGTCCTCAGTTACGGACGTTTGGCAAGCTCGGGGTAGTGTTTTTCCCCTCGCAACAACGAGGAATTTCAACTCACGCCTGGATGGACCCTAGGTAGTCTGTTGTTTTGAAGCAATGATTGGGGTGATATTATGGAGGGGACATGATTATGATGATGATTACAGGTTTGAGCAAAAATTTCAGAAGACTAGCCAAAACCATGTCAAGTTTCATTGAAAGTCAAACTTGGAAGCTTCCATGATATACCGTACATTCCTATCAATTAAAATAGTCCTAAAGGCCCTACTCCTGTTGAGTGGCGTCAGTTTTCGTAAAACTACACTTCGATTCCTGATTGGGCCCCATTGCGCAGGAGCGCATTCTAGGAATGGCAATTACTGCCGCCAAAGACTTTATCCCTTATCATCTGCACCAACTAGTGATCTTCCTTTATATTTTTTCACAAGTTTAACTTGTTAAAACGATAGTTCCATCGAGGCTTAGAAAATGTATCCCCAATAATTTACTGATTTCAGAATGATGTATTTGATCGCAATGGTTAATTTCGCATATGCTCCTCTCATGTTCCTCCTTCGCTCTCCACCACCAATAAATAGAGAAGAGGTCAGCGGTGTTTATGAGATTGTTTTTTTTTTATTATTACCCGTCAATCACAACTACCTGACCTCTGCCTCAGCCGAACGTAATAGGCTCTTTGCGAAATTCTGAAATTGAGCCCTACTGACGCATAAAAGGAGATTCTCCTCTATTTTGGAATGTTGCACAGTGAGCAGATAGAAAAAAAAGTGGATGAAACAAACTGGTAAAAAAGAACTTGTTAACAAACTTACAGCATAGGGAGTATTGTATTCCTTATCTCTGGCCACATTTTGCAACTGTTGTACAATGATCGGTCGACATGACATCCTACACCATCTACTCCGCTTGATTCCCTTGAGGAGCTCATCACTTTCTTAAAAGAGCCGATGTTCCCTGCGTAGAGAGCTACTTTACGGGATTTTCAAAAAGTGAGGCGAAAATGACGTCTTCCCATTTCACCATTCACGACGCCCTTTTAGACGGAGCCCTTCTTAAAGGTTTCGATATCCTCTCCTTATAAAAGGACATCAAATTAGGAATGATGATGCCAGAAGCGTCTATGAGTGAACGAAAATTCGCGAAATGAATGCCTCGTTTCCTGTACTTCTCACCTGCTCCTGCATTCTGCTTCATTCTTTCGCGCGCGGTGTCCCTCTCGCCGCGACGCGACAATTTCGTTCCTACTGCACCACACCCGGGGAAGCTTCAACTGGCCTTGACTGTGCAATCAATAAGTTGATCGCGCCTTGCTGACTACATTTGAAAGGCACATTCCGCGGTAATTTCACGTGACTTTCTTGGGTGACGAATCAAAAGCATTCTCGAGAGTTTTTGAGCCTTAACTGGGTCCTATTATAGCAGATTTTCGAGCAGACAACGCTCCATGTAGCCTTCTCGGAAAATTCATCTTCCTTCACATTAGAAACCTCTTGAGCAATAGTGTTCACGGCTGCTATGATATTATGATGTAGCAAATTGATTAATTAGGTTTTATTGAAATTCTGCACAAATCTTAATGTTAGTAATAGTCTTAATATTAATAGTTGTCTGTTGAGATGCCACAAAACCAGCATGGCAATGTTTATGGTACGGATCAGGATATGAAAAGTATCGCACCAGATGTCACACGCATGGAGGGATACCAATATGATTACTAGACAGTTTCAATGTTACGTTCATTGTATGTAGTGAAATTAGTACAATGCTAGCTGACTATTGTTTTAACTATTGAAAAAGCTATGAACGTTTGAAGTTGCATGTTCGTGTGGAAAAATATGCGATTATTTTTTTGAGGGGGTAGTTGGCAGTAGTGAAGGCTGGAACATTCAGTCGCGGCTGTCTAACGAAATGGCAGAGTAGTATACAAGCTTCATTGTCGAAGTGATCTCGACGAGATTCAAGAGTAATTTGAATATACAACTTATACTTCTACGGCTACTGGTTTTGAAATTTAGAGTCATACCATTTATTATGGGCCAGTGTTCAAGAACTTTCCGCCTTTCTCATCAGATGCATCTAAATGAGCATTCCATCGAGCGCATTAGCTATGTACTCACCCCTCGTGCTGAAATCTCTTACTAGTTTCTTTCTTCGTTTGTTGTAGTGAATTAAATCAGGAAGCACGGTGAGACAGTAATTCAAAAAACAAGCGTAAAGTCTTCAATTCTGCATACAGTAATGAGGGCCTACTACTTCCATTACGAGAGGGAGAGGGCTTTTACTAAACTTTACTATCCTTCAAGAATACATCAAAGTGCAACCTTTATCATGACTGTTAGATATACCATACCACCCTCTTGTAGCTATTCATAGATTTTCGATCCACATACGTGCATAAAGGATAAAGGAAAAGTTTTTTTGCGCTAATTAATCCCGTCTGAGGGATGCGCCCCTGCACTCGACTTCCATTCAGAATCGTGATGGCGTAATGAGTGCGGATGTGGCCTATACAATGATTTCCAGTGGCCAGCCGATGTACAAGTCAGTGCTTTTCTTCCTTCCAGTCCCAGACAAGTCTAGTACCAATTCACCGACCAGGATGGAAGGCTTGGTTGGCCTAGGCGGGCACCGATCCGGCTTTCGAACCCCTGATCGTGCGCGTGAGATTGAGCGCCACTTACCACTACACCACCTCTGTCCACATACGTGCATATCTCACAAATATTTATTTCACCCTACTGCAGCAGCAGTAGCTACTCTGTTTGTTCAGAGCACTCAATTGCATGAAGAAAGTGAGAGTAAGCATGGTTTTGGTAGCGTAAGTGTTGAAGAGCACGATATCCGGAACACACAACAATGGTTCCTGTGCGGTTCTGGGCTTCAGTGATACCCACAACTTGCCACGGAGTGTACAAACAACAGTCAGTAGGGTTATTTTAATTACGAAATACAATTTTCGTTTACTCACATACCTTCTACGATTGCTCAATCAGACTTTCCTAACAGGTGATCACACATAATGCTTCCTCATATTATTTAATGGGCTCATTCCCATTATATTGAGATATGAATATGAGGTTGATGATCCCTGATCCACGCCTTGACATCGGCCATCATGTCATGCATTTCGTCGTAAGTTCTGTTCGCTAGCCTATCTTTCAACGAACGGTTGACGTGATAATATAGGAGCTTCTGTCGATGAATATGGCGGATACAGAAGCAGATCACATCCCATACTTGACTTCGAGTGACTATTCCATAGCCGAAGAATCGAGATCGCGGAATGACTCGGCCACCTTCCAACTTTTCTAGAAGTAGTACAGCATAGTGTGATGAATAAGAACATGACGTTTTGGCCGTACTCCTGTTAAGGGGAGCAAGAAGATTATTTCTTTAAATTCCAAACGAATTTCATATACAGTATGTAATTCCGAACCATAATGCACAAACTGTATCGAGAAAAAAGAGCTGCGAAAAAATCCACAATAATTATACATCCACCCAGTAGATGGAGCGGGAGAGGAGTTCATGAATCGCACCTAAGATCACGGAGAGAAAAGAAGAAGAGAATAAAAACGTGGTCCCGAATCTGCAAAATATTCTCCATCTCTTCCGGTGAAGGTTGAGGCATGATGAAATCATGAAGATCTTCATGAAGGTTGAGGCAGAACTGAATCACCCTACCCCTTGTTCATCTGCCTCTTTTTCAACCTCAGCCCAACTTTCGATTGTCCTATTTGCATGGAAAGAGGCTTGTCGAACAATCGTTTTTACTTTTCTTGTAGAAATTGGTTCAAATGAAATTACCACCAAATAGGTTTTTCATCGATGCAATGCACCGTTGCAAGTGATCCTCTTTGGTGCCGACGTCATTCGGCGTATCAGCATAAATCCTTCGTTAAACACAAACCTAAACAAGTCGTGATCGAAAGGAAACGATTGAACGTTCGAAAATCCGCCTATAAAACCGCCATAGCGCCACAATCCGTGAAATAAATACATTGGTCTGTGTCCATTCATTCCATTGGTTTTTTTTTTGCCTTTTAGTCGAAATCGACTTAGTTTCTCGAAATATGGTTGTGTGGAATTTATCTGTCAAGAATTTTCAAAAATTTTGTCAATTTTAGAAATTTCTGTTAATTTTTTACTTTTTTTCCAGTTTTCGAAAAATGTCAAAAATGTAGAGGTTTCTCCTGAAACTCACTAGAAGCTTCTATGGGTTTCTATACAGTTACACTACCCACGCATATAACCTTATATATCTGAGTATCGCTTCATTGCTTATTTAGTTATGTAATGACCAAACTGTCTGCCCATCTTCGACTTGTTCTTCTTTACTAGTTCGAATCCGACCAATTCGCTGCTGAAACCAATTGAACTTCGTGTCAAACATTTGACCTTGAAAGCCCTTGTAAACGGTATTTTCCGTTTCATTGCCTTCCAGCATGAAACGAAAAGGTCGAATTGAACTTTCATCTTATCAACCGAGTGCGATGTCATGAAACCCCTGCATATGCTGTGCGTATACAAGTGAGTAGTGCTTGTTATAGAATTTCTGTAGACCCATCCAGAAAGTCCAGGAAGAAGTTAGTTATCGTGAAGTTGTCGGTAGATACTTTACCCAAAGCGAAATATTTCCTCGACACCTATCCAGTAGTGGACCACTCTATATTTTGCTGTCAACGATACATTCACCTCAGCTTTTAATATAGTAAGCTTTAAATTTATCATCAAAATATTGTTCCTAACATTAGAAGGCCACGAAACTCATTTTGAATTGACCGGTCTCATCAACATACGACACACACACCTTCCACTCGAAAGTGCGTCGATTCTTACTACTTTTACTTACTATTAAAGATCGACGTGATCCTTGTGTGGTGGAAACTCGATTAGTCCTAATTTGAACTTCGGCTATGAAAGCGGTAGCTTAACCGTTTTTCTCTGCCCCAGATTTGATCTGTTCTTTTGCTGCTTATACACCATTGACTTACTCTTCGAACATATGATCCACTTAAGACCGGATCTTTGTTGATTGTTGTTTAGTTGTAAGGAACTACATTGCCTTTGCTACTTTCCATGGGACTGAGGAGAATTGATATCGCAGCAAGCCAAGCATGTAATGGTTCCGTCATTCAACCTACCCAAACAGGTTTTTACATCAAGCGGACCCTGTCATACAGAAAATACGTGCTGTACGTATCAAAAGAAAGAGAGAGGGGGGAGGGGTTAATTGAAGGGTGTCCTTTTTAAGTTTGACACACAAACACACTAAGCTTTAAAGAGATTTCGCTGGACAAGGTCCAATCGATTTTAAATGATTTTGCATGTCTCATGATTAGAAGGCTACACAAACCTATCTGAATGGGAATGGAAAAAGTGGAAAAATGTTAGAGTAAAAGTCTTCAGTCTCTAACGGGGCTCGAACCCGTACTTGTGCTTTCAAGGCACCGTGCTCTATCCTTCACAATACCGAGACCCCGCTTGCCCTCTCCTTCTTAAAAGCTTGTATGCCATAGCTTATCAGCACTCACATGTATAACATGTTGAGCCGCTTGACCAATATCACCACAAGTACGGGTTCGGGTCCCGTCCGAGGCTGAAGTTTTGCCCATAAATCGCCAATCTTTTAGGACTCTCGCATCGCGCACTGCGGCGAAAATACAGCAGCTAACAAAACATCAACTCAAAACAATGTCAGAGTATTTAATTTGAAAAAAGAAAAGGCATAGTCTTTATCTGCAACACTATACTTGAGCCTGATTCAATGGGTCTTGAATAAATGGAGAATTTCAGAGCATACGGAAGCACCGTTTCCTCCTAACTCAAAAAAAGCGGGTTGGAGAGAAGGCATGAGGAAGTTCTCCGACTATTCGAATTTATACCATCCGATTTACCCATCATGGGTCACATTGGACCAGAAACCAACTGATACCCCTGATTTTTCTTTCGGACTAAAAATTCGGTTTATATTTACACAGATGCTAACCCGATAGTTTTGTAGCAAGGCCTCACCGCTGTGCACGTCAACAAGTAAGGCAACCTATAGATTCAGATATTCTTATACATTTCATTGCATTTAACTACTTGTATTTCCTAAATACTCCAATTTCCATTTGTTTTATGAACACCGATTTTTATCTTCGAGGATTACGAGTATTTGGTATATGCTCGGGAATGCTACGTTTTTGTTACTTCAAGGTTACTGTTTGATGATCATACATGGCGTAGCCTTCTGCATACTCTCCGCAACAGCACTTCCTACCATACCTATCAAGCTGAACGGTTTGTCCTTTATTCAGATTTTATAATGCTACAAATGGCATCGAAAATATTCTACAGATGTCGACAATGGAGATTTGTTGTTGCCGTTTGGCATCATTGGAGACATGGATTCCCAGTCAAGACAAGGCAACGTGTGGCACAGCCCAATGGTCATTGGGACGTTAACTCTTACTGCAGTACGACTTTTCACCTTTGTCTATCCATTATCTTGAAATGTTGTCACGTGGACGTCTAATATAAAATTTTCGGGTGCCGGAAGTTTTCCCAAGGCAGCGGCAAAGGCTACGCCTAGGCTACCCTATCCTAGCAATGGGAATTGGAACCGTTCTCTTCATATCGCGCGATCGGGTGCGGCGAACGCGACGCGATTTTCGGGAAGAAGATATCGGACCCAAAATTTTCTACCTTTCTCGAGACACACCAAACTGGTTTACCGAAAGTTGGAAGATTCAAAGTTACAAAATGGTCGCCATAATTAGCCTGAAGCTTTGCAGGTGTTTCTTCGAAGTAAGTAATGAGAACCAGACATTGATTACATAGCTACTGACTTTTACATATTTTGATTTGGTGAGGGCCTAAAAATTGCCACTGCCAGCACTTCAGCTCGAGATTGGATTCTTGTTATATGAGTTGCTATCAGCTACAGCAGGGTATAGCCCTTGAAGGCACAGTCTACGATAATTTTGAGGTACGCCTTTTTTGTTGAAAAATGGAAGTGTAGGATGGGAATAGTTCATCGGCAGTGAGGAAAGCAAGAGAATCCGCTGCTTTCGAGAAAAATATGGCTCCTCAAACGTAGGGGTAGTAGAGGTTAGACGAGATTAAGATGACGGAAAAACATGGAAGGTGCATTTGGACAAGATTTCAGTTGTTACATTTGCGCAAAGAACTGACTACATCATGCCAGAACTGTACAGAACTACCTTCCACTGTCACTATGGGTCATGACAAGTTGTTTTAGCTTCCCACATGGGTTCTTTTGTGATCGGTGCAGCCTCTACAATGCCGTGAAACTCGTCCGAGAGTACACACGGTCAGATCTTCGTGCCTTTATAACGCCCTATATGAGCCGTTCCCAGGTATGACAGCGCCACGTGCGACATACGGGGGTCCTAAAAATTCATTCACCGGGAGTGCCTTTGAAGATGCAAAACGTGTACGTGAGGAGCGGTTTCCATCTTTCACAGAACTTTCCTGCTAACATCTCCAATGCTACTCGAGCCTGTTTTGTGCAGTTTAACACTCTGACATGTAGCCTGAGTTTTATCTCGAAGTTCTAAGTGGGCCTTTGAGAGCAATAATTCGCTGTTTGGTCTATTGCCGTCGGGGTCGCGAACTTCTCAGGTTCTTCTTTCTTGTTGCTCAGGAACTACAATGTTGCAATGATCTTTTTTTCTATTAACTTCTCCATTGAAAAGAGTCTAAAGTCTCGGGCCGTTGATCAATCCCATCTGAGGAATTAAAAAACATCCATGTATTCGACTTCCATTCAGAATCGTAGTGGTGTATTGAATGCGTATGTGGCCTATAAAGAATTGCAGTGGCTAGCCGATGCACAAGTCAATGCTTTTATCCTCCCAGCCGAGTCTGGTACCGATTTGCCCGGGGGGACGGAAGACTTGGTCGGTCAAGGCGGATATCGGTCCGGAATTCGAACCCGTGACCCGTGCGTGTGTGAGGTTTGCCACTTGCCACCACCTCCGCCCATTATTGTAAAGAGTAGGATATTTCATTCCACAAGACGCAACAGTACTTAAGAATACAATCGATAGGGACTCCCAAAGTAGCGATACTTGTAATTAAGAATTGCTCTGTTCTCACGAATGCCATGCCATCCTTTATGAAACTCACATGTTCATAGGATCAAAAATCAGCGGCAGTAGAGTGGCTTTCATCGTTCAATTATACATCCGTACTGAACTATGGTAACCGTGGCATGGAATTGAGCGATCTGATATATTTCAACGGCAAACTAATGAGTGTTGACGACAAGACAGGAATTGTTTACCGGTCAGTTGATTTTTGGTAACCTTCGCCAGTCCCAAGAGGGCGGGTTACATTTGAACCTAAACATTCGCGCAGTTCTAGCCATAATTTTATTGCATTTCAGGATTGATGGAAGGAAGGTAATTCAGTGGGTAATTCTTTCTGATGAAAACGGCACCGATCCTACTCGTACGTGATTACAATTTTGAACCATTGATTTGAAATTATACGGAAAAAAGATAAATAATAAGAATTTATTCCTTCTTGGGCAGAAACCTCTTCACAGTCATTCGTATTCAATGTGGCCAGCTATACATAGCCCCCCACCCCTCCACCCCTCCCCCCTCTTCATGTATTTTGAACTTCAAGCGATAGCATTCAGTACCTTCACATATGACTGATTAATGTGGTAATTGACCTAAGTGACGATGGGCAGTACTTTGAGGGGAGGGGGAGCTAGCTAGTCCCCACAAAAATTTGTTCTTTTTTCATTTTTATCCCCTTCGGACCAAGCTGCAGATTTCTACCGTCAAAAAATCTAGCAACGTACATCAATAGTAACAGAATTGTACAGAACAAACAAATTCAGCGTTTAAAGGGGAGTGGTTGACTTCGAAAGACGGCTTTCTGTACTGTGGAAGTAATGGAAGAGAAATGACTACCCCAATAGGAGAGTTCATCAGCAACAGTCCTATGTACGTGAAGGTAATAATTCTTTCTGCAATAATTTTATAAGATTTTATTAAAACCTGATGCCAAGATGGTAA